CTGATCTCGTGGAGCTTAGATTTTCGTTTATGTGCAGGGCGGGTGCAGTAAGGCAATAAACAATACACATAATATATGATAGAATATGCTAGAATGTCTTAAGTGCTATAGGAAAAAGAAAAATATAAAATGAGTACAATAAAGGGCATCTGGAGTGCTGGGACCATTGCAAGTTTAATTAGGATGGTCAGGATAAGCCTCCTTGCAAAGGGGAAATTTGAGCAAACACTGGAAGGAGACGAGGGAGTCAGCCACGTGGCTGTCTGCTTGGGGAAAGAGCAATTCTGACAAAGTGAGGATCCAGCACCAAGTTCCCAAGGTGGGAGCATGTCCTGTGTGTTCTAGAAACCTCCAGGCGGCCAGTGTGGCTGCAGCAGAGCCAGCAGGAGGACAAGGGGTAGTTGTAGTAATAGACGAAGCCAAGGAGCTTAAGGTCTCCATGAGGGAATTGAGAAACCACCGCAGAGTTCCGAGTAAAGAGTCTGACTTACATTTTTAAAAAATAGCTGTGGTAGCTGGGTTGATGATAGGCTGTAGAGGGCCAGGGTGAACCTGGGAGGCGAGTCACGAGGCCACGGTGGTGACCGTAATCCAGAGTGAAGATGACAGAGGCTTAGAGGAAGAAGGATGGCCAGGACAGAGGGCAAAGTGGTCAGATATATTTTAATATAGTCTATTTTATTTTATTTTGTCTGTACTTATGTTTTATTATAATCCATTATAATATTACTATTGATATTATAATATGTTATATTTTATATGCATTTTGAAGGCAAAGTGAGCAAGATTTCCAGTCAGATGGGCATCAGGTGTGAGAGAAAGAGAGGGTCAAGGATGACTCCAAGGTCATCCTCGGAAGGATGGAGTTGCCTGCAACAAAAGAGGTTTGGGGTGGGGTCAGAAGGAGTTCGAATTTGGACATGTGGAGTCACACTGCAGTGAGGGTCTTTGTAAAAGCTGCTCACGTCATGCTGGCCCATTCTTACGTTTTCCTCGGAACTTCCCCGACTGACCATGATAACCCCCAAGATCTTTAGCATGGCCCATATAAGGCCCTGCAGTGGGTCCCTGCCACCCCTCTGGCTCTGGTACCAGATTCCACTTTAGGTTCATTTCTTGGGCCACATTGGCTGCCCTCTGGTGGCATCTCAGACCTGTTACTTTAAGGAAACCAAGTTTCCTCATGTGTTCTCTCGTAGTACCCTAAATTTGTCTCCTGCATGATTATTTGGTTCATGTCCTTCTTCCCACAAAGAAGAGGCTGGGTTCACATCTGTTTTGCTCGCCATTGTACCCTCAGTGCTGCACACACTATTGGGCATATACTAAGTGCTTAGTTAATACCGTTGAAGGAATGAGGGTTTACTACCCATCTAAAAGAAAATATCAGCTTATATATTTACTCTTTTTCAGAGTCTTTGTATAATTTTTGTATAAAGAATACTGAACTAGAAAAAATGCCAAGGAAATAACACATTATCATTTATAATAATAATTAGTAATATCATTCAAAGTTCATTAAGGAGTCCAAACCACGAATGACTCCTTTCCTGTAGAATATGGTGCTGCTCACCAGATTTCTGGTTCTCTTCAGGAACCACAGTGAATTGCAGACTTGCATTGTCCATCTTCTTGAAGATGGGCTTTCACGTGACTTGTTTGGTCACTAAAATGTCAGCAAAAGCAGCAGGCATCAATTCTAGGCAGAGATATTTGGAAGTTGGAATACAAACTTCTGGCTCTACCCACCTGTAATAGTTTTCTGTGGCTTCCATAAGAAATTACCAAACTGAGTGGCTTAAAACAAATTTATTCTCTCATGGTTCTGGAGACCAGAAGTCCAAAATCATGGTGTCAACAAGGTTGTGCTTCCTGTGAAGGCTCACGGGAAGAATCCTTCTTTGCCTCTTTCAGTTTCTGATGGTTGCTGGCAATCCTTGGTGTTCTTTGGCTTGTAGATCACTCCAATCTCTGTCTCCACCTTCATATGACATTCTCCTCTGTGTGTGTGTGTGTGTGTGTGTGTGTGTGTGTGTGTGTGTGTTTGAATCCAAATCTCCCTCTCCTTTCTTTTATAAAGACACCTGCCATTGAATTTAGAACCCACTCTAAATCCAGTATGACCTCATCTTAAAGTTGATTACGTCTACAAAGACCCTGATTCCAAATTATGTCACATTCACAGGTACCAGGGGTTAGGACTTGAAAATAGCTCTCTAGGGGACACAGTTTAATCTACTACACCACCTTACTCTGGCAATGTTGACCATCAATTATTTACTGAGTGCCTGCTATGTGCCTGTCATTGTGCTATGTGCCAAAAGGGATATATAGAAAATTAGACACAAGGATCCAAATCACAAGGAGTATACAACCTAATCGGGTGGGCAAGACAGAAAAGACCTATATGGTATTGGCTGAAATTGTCAGGGGAGACTGAATAATGAGACTTAATAAGAGGTAACCCTATCAGGGCTTCCAGTCTGTTCCAGGCACTGTGCTAAGCACTTTGCAGGTATTAGTCCTTTCAAATCCCCTGGAGGTTGCACCCCATGAGGTTGGTATTTTATACTTATTTTATAGGACAGGAAACAGAGGCTTAAAAAGGTTGAGTAACTTGCCCAATGGTCACACCAATCCAAGTCAGTCTGACTCACAAACGTGGAGTCCTATGGACTCGCCCGTATTGCACCTTCAATTAAGCCGAGCCTTGATAGTCCGCTAGAATAGGGTAGCCTGCACTCCAAAACACACAAGATTTAGTTCACCTCATATAGTTATCCCTGGGCTGAATTGATCATGTGGCAATATCAACAGGTTACAGTAATAAAATACAACAAACTACTCCATTTCTATTTCATCGTTGGTAGGTTGGCCTTCCCACCTAATTTATTTTTATGGACTAATCCAAACTCATTTTTTCATCTTTCCCTTTATAACAACTGAAGTCAGACTTTAATTTTCTAACTTGGCCCCAGATGCAAAGACATCATATCAAGACTCTTCATTTCTGGTCTTTTAAAGCATTAAAACAATTAAAGGTCCCAAAAGAAACAACATGAAACCAACCCTATTTTCAAGTGCTTCCAACCTTGTTTCAAAACAGCCTTCTGAGGATTGTTTTCCAAACAGCTGTGTACGAAGCCAGCCACTTTCGAAATCTGATTTTTCCTATGTAGACATATCACATTTTCTGTGCTTGGAGAAGCAGGGAATACCCAAGCTGGCATTCAATAGTAGTGAATATGAAATAGAGCATTTAAAAAAAAAAGTCATAGGAATGTTGAAATCCATGTTGACTGGTTTTTGCATTTACCCGGCAGCATTCCCATGCTAGTGTTGGCATGGAGACTGGAAAAGGAAACTTTCCACAAGTCTGTCACTTGCTACTGTTTCCACTTATTCTACTACTGTGAGCCGAATTTTAACAATTTTTTAAAAGTTAAAAAAGTTTGATTCCTTTTGTGTTTTCTGTTTCAGGACAGTTCTCAAACATGAAAACACTTGTGAAAAGGGTTTAAGAAATCAGGCAAAGATTTGGGTTTCCAAATATTCAGCTGTTTAACATTCATATAATTGGCTGCCTTTCTCCCCTATATTTTGTCTGAATGCTTTGGCATGGGGGAGCCCCACAGTCTGAAAGTAACTTCGTCTCCGCTCTCCTTACTGCATTCATTAAAGAGGCTGGAAGATGCATCTGCTTTTCAACAGCTTGTGGCTCTTACGGGACCAGGGAAGCTACAGGTTCAGGCTATCCAGGAAGAAATTTGGGCTTCCTAAAACGTCAGTGCAAGCAAGTTTGCTGTGGTCACACCTACATATACTTGAAATCATTTCTATTAAAGGAAACAGGCTAAGATTCTTGGAGCCAGGCTAGGGTCAGAGATGGAGGGCAAAGTTGTCATTTCCCCTTTCATGGGGTGCCGGGAACCCCATAGACACTCAATTCATGTGTGCATGAATGAACGGATCACAGTAACACCCTATCGCATCTCTAAGACAGACTGGTGATTTTCCTGGGCTGCGAAGTTAAAGAGAGAGCTGCCTACCTAGTAGAGCTTAAGGGGCCTCAGGCTGGCACACGACACCAGGTGTTCTCATTTCCCTCTGGCTTCATCCTGGACTGCTCTGCCTGAAGCTGGGGCGATGCTGACGAGGGGAACTACATGTGAGGAAAATCAGAGAGGAGAGGGTCAGGAACAGATGTGAGCGTAAAGAGAGGGCATTTGAAATGAAAGAAACACACAGGACTCCCACAGCTGGGAGGACAAATCCCTCCATGTCGTGGGGGATGTGGGATTAGGGGTGATTTTGCTCTGCCTTTGTTCTTTCCCCCTGCCTTCCACGTTTCCAGTTTACGTTTCATGTCTGTCTTTTCTGTTAAGTTATTCGACCATGAGGACAGACCCGGTGGCAGCACCTGGCATACAGCGGGCGCTCGGTCTACGCTTGCCGGACAAAAGAACCAATTCAGGGGCTATCGTGCCCCCCTCACCCCCTATTTGTCCGCAGCTCGGGGAACGTGGCAGGCGCCCCCTAAACATCTGTAGAGCAAATGATCTGGAAGTTTTCCGCGCTGCGCACGCAGAGCTCTGGAAACCAGGACAGCAAATGAGTGTCTCTGCGACCACAAAAGCGATGCAGGCGCGTGCGAGAGGCAGCGGCGGGCGAGCGCGGGGAGAATGGCACCGAGGGGGCGCCCCGCGGGGGGCGCTGCCTGCGTGGCGCCGGGAGTCGCGCGCCGGCACGTGCTCGCTCGGGCGCCGGCCGGGCCGGGGCGGGCGCGTGTGCGTGGGGCGTGGGGTGTGTGCCCGCGCCGTGCCCCCCGCGCGTGCTGCCGGGCGGGCGGCGGCGTGAGTCACGGCGGGGCTCGCCTTTATAACGGCCGCGAGGCTCGCGGGAGCCGCCGCGCCCGCCCGCCCGCCGCTCCGCGCTCCGCCGAGCGCGCCCCAGCCCCGCGCCCCCAACCGGCCCCAACCGCCGCCCAGTCCCGCGGCGCCATGAGGAGCCCGCGCTGCGCCCCGCTGCTGCTCCTGCTGCTGCTGCCGCCGCTGCTGCTCGCGCCCCGCGCCGGGGACGCCGCCGTGATCACCGGGGTAAGCGGCTCGGGCGCACCTGTCCGCCCGGGAGGCGCGCCCGGGATGCGCCCGGGAGGGCTCGGGACCGGGACCCCGAAGGGGAGGAGAGGGGTGCGGGGAGGGTCGCCCTGGGCGGGGACACCTGCCTCACTCGCCCTTTGACCCCCTTGGCAAAGAGTCCTGCTCCTAAAGCAGCAGACACTGGGGACACTGGGCGCTTCCTGGAAGAAAAAGTGACAGCGAGAGTGTCACCTCACCACCTTCTCTTGCTTGTTTCATCCTCATCACTCCACAACCTCGGTACTCGTGTTTGGTCTGTTTTTCTGTTAAGCTGAAAGAAGTTTCTTTCAGAGTCTTCTCAAGTACTTTTGGAGGCGCTCCAGCCTCGACCCTTAACAATGACGGCCCTTCCTGACTGCCCTGGAGCCAGACGAATGCCCCAGACCCCGGAGGGCTTAATCCTGCATTCAAGGCGTTCGCTCCCCGTGCGTCCTCCGCAAAACCCCTTTGAAATACTTGGACCAGGGCCATGTGTGCGCTTTGAGAGGCAATTGTGGGCGCTTCCTTCTGAGTTCCGGGGCTTTTTCCCCCCGCTAGCGTCCTGAGGTTCTCCGTGTACAAGCTTTTAATTTCTAATTGCTGAATAAAGCACGTCCAGTGCCCCAGGGTAATTATGGAGTAGGTTGCCATGTAGATGTTGTTTAAACTGGCATCCTCATCATTTTTGTAAGTAGGAACTAGTTCATTTCTCTCCTACTCCCAACGGTTTTGTTTGTGTGGATGTGAAGAATGAGTTTACAGTACAAAATTTAAAAGTCTAGTTTACATCAACAATGCAAAACCATTGTCATTTCCTGGTTATTCGGCTGCTTTACTCTTTTTCCTTAAGTGCAGAATTATTTTACACCTTCATGAAATGACTTCCAATATCTAAGTGTGCATTATAGGATTTAAATAAAATGTCTATATTTGAAATAATGATACATA